GATTACCCAGAATACACTGGAGAATTTTTTTTTTGTTTAAAGATGAGGTAAAAATTACCAGTGTCAGCAATAAAAACAGTAAGGATCTTATAGTAGTTTAAAAAAGCCTAAGAGGCTATTACAAACAACCTTATGCCAGTTAATTTGAAGGTGAAATGGACAAATTCCTAAGAAAATACAACTTACTAAGACAGAAAAAAAGGAAAATCAAATACAAAACCTCGATTGTTGGGGCGCCTGGGTGGCTCAGTCGTTAAGCATCTGCCTTTGGCTCAGGTCATGACGATCCCTGGGTCCTGGGATCGAGCCCCACATTGGGCTCCCTGCTCCGCAGGAAGCCTGCTTCTCCCTCTCCTACTCCCCCTGCTTGTGTTCCTCTCTCGCTGTGTCTCTCTCTGTCAAATAAGTAAAATCTTTAAAAGAAAAAAAAAGAAAACCTCGATTGTTATACAACTACATTACCCCAGCCTAAAAACCATTAAGTTCTAAAATTATCTTACCATACACAAAATCTTCAGAGAAAAGAAGAAACCAGAACGCCCCCAATTTTTTTTTTAATTTTATTTATTTATCTGACAGAGAGAGAGAGAGAGCGAGAGAGGGAACACAAGCAGGGGGAGCCGGAGAGGGAGAAGCAGGCTTCCTGCGGAGCAGGGAGCCCGATGCGGGGCTCGATCCCAGGACCCTGGGATCATGACCTGAGCCCAAGGCAGACACTTAACGACTGAGCCACACAGGTGCCCCCCTCCCAACTTGTTTTATAAGGCCAAAGCATATTATATAAATGACAAGAGAAAAAAAAAGTAAAAGACAAGCTTCTATCATTAATAAGCCAAAAAACTGGCTTAAAGCTACACTGAATGACTTATTTCTTTATTAATATTTATTGATCATCCCCAAAAGACTATTTCAGATTAAAAGATACAGAGCTGTAAAGTGAAATAAGTCAAGCAGAGAAAGTCAATTATCATATGGTTTCACTTATTTGTGGAACATAAGGAATAGCATGGAGGACACTAGGAGAAGGAAAGGAAAAATGAGGGGGGGGGAATTGGAGGGAGAGATGAACCATGAGAGACTGTGGACTCTGAGAAACAAACAGGGTTTTAGAGGGGAGGGGGGATTGGTTAGCCGGGTGATGGGTAATAATGAGGGCACGTACTGCATGGAGCACTGGGTGTTATACAAAAACAGTGGATCGTGGATCACTACATCAAAAACTAATGATGTATTGTATAGTGACTAACATAATAAAATTAAAAAAAAAAAAAGATATACAGCTGTAGTCCCTATCTTCAAAGACTTAATCTAGTAAGAAAAATGGTGGAAAAGGATGCTCAAATATCCTAAGAAGCAAGGTCTACAAAATCCTGCCTATGCCAGGCCTGAGAACAACACAACAGCAAGGATAAGCCTGTGTTATGACAAAGGCTAGCCGTGATGATAGTGAGCTGACTAGAAATTTGCATAATTCTAAATATGAAATATAGTAAATGTTTCTATGAAAGCCCACGTATTGGCTTTTCTAAATTGCAATATATCAACTGCTCACAAATGCTTTCAGTTTCTCCCCTTATCTGCTAGAATTTACTTGAGAGGTTGCTATGCCAATGTCCCAGTACTATTTTATTATTGAAATGATCATACTGGTCCCTAACAGTGTCAAGAAAGAACTGAAAGCTTATAGTTAATTTTCCCTAATATGTCCCTAGACCCTCTTTTATCTTTTTATAAACATAACAGTCATTTTAGCATTTTTTTTACCTGAAGCTACTCTTCAGTATTATTTCCATTTTGCCTACATAATAAATAATATTCTTGTTCTCAAAAATCAGAATTAAAATTAGCCTTTACAGAAAACCTCTAAAACAGTCTTAGGAAAATCAACTTAAGAGACATCAAATGTCACCAGAACAATGATCCTGAGAGGCCTTATATCAGGGCTCTTAACCCGTTACCAAGCATTGGCTTCTGGGAGTCCAAGAACATCCTGAAATAGTATGCTAAACTTAGTTGTGTCTTCTTTGCAGCAAATCCTTAATTTTCATCAGATGCTCACGGGTAAATGATGCCAAAAACAACAACAACAACAACAACAAAACCTTTCCCCTTACCTGATTATGAAGGTTAAGTATGATGGAAAATATACATTTAATGATAATGCAAACAATTCTGATGAAACATCTCAAGTTGTTTGTACATGCGATTAGGGAAGGAAAGAGCAAAGAGGAAATAATAAAACAAGAACTTACTCGCTAAACACACATCCCTTTTCTACGAGGCAATGATCTCTTGAAGTAAATACTTGATTCCCTTCCATTACTCAGATCAATACATCTCTCTGCCAATCTCTTTCAGGTCAATACATCTCTGTGCCACACAAGGTTGAAAAGCTGCCGGCAGGTTCCCTGTGTATGGGCAGTTTCCCCTGTAATTATTAGCATCTAAGAACCTGAAACCATGAGTATCACTGGACTCAAGCTATAAGGAAATTCCAGTACATTAAAATGAAATCAAGTCACAGAGGCTGCAGAACATAGCTCCTGGGAAGTGACACTAGACAGAAAGTGCAAGCAGGAAAGACGCATAATTTTGGGGTACCGGCATACAACATGAACCTATATGATTAAAGGCATTCACTTGCTTTCCCAGCCACCACACATTCCAAAAAGCACCAGTGTCTGAACTGTGCCACCTGCCCATGCTAGTCATTCACTAAGTACAGCAAGCATCAGAAAACTCAAGTCAGTTTCGCAGCAGTTTATCAGTACAGACTCTGTGGACCCTCAGAGACAAGGGAAGACTGAGCAGGAATGTAGCTGTGCCCAAATTAGGTTAGCGTCAGGGTCCACAGGAGAAGGAAACAGGGTATAAAGAGTCTAAGTTTCCTTGAGTAAATATCCCTCAAAAGTTCTAGCTCTAAGCGCATAAAATTACCAACTTTAATTTTTAGTGAATGACTGACAGTCAGGGATCACCTATACATTCTGGCCAATCATTCATGCCAAAAATATTGAGAACTAATAACAGTTAATATTTATCGAGAACTTACTGGGTGCAAGGTTGCAGTAACCCTCACAATCCTCTGTGGTAAATACTGTTATTAATTTGGAGATATTATGTAACTTGCCCAAAGTTATGTAGGTAATAAAAGGTGGGAACTGGGATTCTGAGCATGCTCACCTAATCACTGTGCTATAATGCTTCAACCTGCCAGGTTATTTTTTCTATCCTATAAACCAAGGTGAGCCAATGAAAAAATTCAAGGACAGCAGTAATTATATTTACATGTTAGATCACACTGATCAACATTGTGGACAGCAGACCAATAGTGAGGTAAAGCAAGGGTCCCAAAAGATAAGTCAAAATCTAAGTCAAAATGCTGAGGAAATGAACCATAGAGATTCAGAGAATAAAAACCTAAAATCTTTGCCCAGTAAAATTAGTTAAGACTTAGGAATGTACTGGATGTTGTAAGCATGGCAAGGAATGAAGGAGGCTACCTCTCATGTTACTGGCGTGGCCTCTGGTTAGTAATTATGGTCTATCAATTCAAAGACAGGAGGACCTGGCAGTTTGGTTTAGTTTAGAGGGGGAGGAAGATGACAAGTCTACTTTTTAAATAACCAAAAACAAAACGAGAAAAACTTATTCTCTGGAATTTCCTTCCCCACTGAAGATAAAATTCCCTTTACAGAAATCTTATCTTTGAAATGAGGAATTTCTGGGGCGTCTCGGTGGCTCAGTCCTTAAGCGTCTGCCTTCGGCTCAGGTCATGATCCTGGGGTCCTAGGATCGAGCCCCACATCGGGCTCCTGGCTCAGCGGGGAGCCTGCTTCTCCCTCTCCCTCTCTCCCTGCTCATGCTCTCTCTCTCGCTGTGTCTCAAATGAATAAATAAAATCCTAAAAAAAAGAGGAAAGAAATGAACTCCTAATGCTTTTTCAAAAATTGGAACTCACTTGAGCAAGGAGGATCCTTCAACATTACTAAGCTCTCCTGCTACAGGTGAGGCACTGAGTGGCAGGGCTGTGTCGGGACCTTGCCTAGTGCACCCCGGTTCTCAGGAACCAAGACTAGAAACCAGCTCTTCTGGCTCCATTCTACTTACTGCTCCTTCTACTTCACCCACCCTCCCAATTCTACTAATGGGGACTCACTTCACCAAGGAATAATGATGTAGTATTTTTTAAAAGCAAATATAGACATGTAAGCTAAAATGTGAAGCTGACTGCATACGCTTAATTTTCCTAAAATTTCTAGTTTTCTTTGCGTTAGTTTCTACTCACTGTAACGTTTCTGCATTTCCTGCACTAAATGGACCCCCCACCCCCCAAAACAGAGTCTTTAGGAAATGCCTGGCTCTTAGTATTCCACAACAAACCAAAGCGCCACTGACAAGGCCTGTTCTGCCGAATCCGTGCCAATTAAGTCAGGGCTTCGGAAGCCACCTGAACCTGGCGTAACACCGGAGCGCGAGACCCGCCTGTACACGCTCCGCAGCCGGGCCCTGGCATCGCCAGCTTGCTCCGAGATCCTGCCCTGCAACCGCACGGCCGCCGGGAGAAGGAGGAAGAAGCGGAGGTGCTGCCCGGCCTCCACCGCCAACTTCCCGGTTGAGGCCCCCACACATCCATGTAGGCTCGGCCAGAAACTGCACCACAGAAATGGTATCGCCAGTCACACGTCTGGAAATTCTTGAAAGAACTACATTACTTACACTCGGGGCCCGGTGTCTAGCGGTGTTTGAAACAATAAGCCCCCTCGAGTTCTGTCTCGAGAGCAGCGGCGCTAGGAAAGCCCAGCGAGGAATCCAAATGGCTGACCCCGGAAAGGACCGGCTTCCCGAGAGCCGGAGCCGACGCTCCACGTCTCCCCAAACCCCGGGGGACGCAGGCCCTGGCGTCGCACCGCGCGGCCCCGCGCTCCGGCCCCGCCCAGCCTCCCATGACCCCGGGCCTCGGGCTGAGCACCACGGCCGAGACCCGCACCCGCGCTCACCGGGATGCAGCCGGCGGCCTGCCCGCCCGGGCGCTTCTCTGGCATGGCTCCCGCCGCGGGCTCCGACGCCGCCTTGTCCTCTGGCTCCGGCGGCGGCTTCGCGCTCATGCCGCGGCCATGCCCGCGCCGGCTCGGGACGCTCCGGGACGACGGCGACGCCGCTAACGCGGCGGTGGGGCCCGCGCCCTCATGGGCTCCGCGGCCCGCGGCGGCCTGCGGGTCGGGCGGTGGCGCCAGCGGCGACGCCGTGGGCTGGAAGGGCGGCTGGGGCTGGAGTCGCTGATGAGGCGAAGAAGGGAGCGCAGGTGCAGAAGCCGCCGGCCGCAACCGCCCCAACGACCGCGGCTCTTGCGGCTGCCAGCGGCGTCAGCGCCGGGCCCGGACGGTCAGGAGGCTCCGCCCCGCGCCTCAGCTCCGGCCTCGAGCTCCCCGCCCGCGCCTGAGGCCTCCAGCAGCGCCCCGCCCACCTCGGGCCCCGCCTCCACGTCTCCGGAGCCGCCGGGACGTCCGGCCCCCGCCGCGTGCCGGAAGTACGTCATCTCCCAGGACCTTCCTAGCCGTTCTTTCTGTTTCCTGAGACACCGCCCAGTGTGGCGAATCGATGAATATGAACCGCTTACGCAGAAGCGGAACTTCGTGTGTGAAATAGGAATAATAGCCTGCTCTGGGTAAGGTGATGATGTACAGAAGTAAACTACCCTAATCTGGGCATAAATGCTGCTATCGTGATTACTGGCCCTAAAGGACCTTGTGAGATACCACATCCTATTTTGCACATGCCAACCCAAGCTTCAAAAGGAAAGTGACTTGGTACTTACAAAGCTAAGGTAACAAACAGAACTGTTGCACCAATTTGGAGTACAAATATAATCATAATATTTTTACTGCTAGATGGTTGAGCATTCAATGCCTCCTTGAAATCAGGAATACCTTGAAACGCTGAAGACCTTATGTCTTTCTCCTTATTAGGGAGACCCAGAAGGACTTAACTAACAATGAAATAAGTCCAATCAGTCCACCATTGATTTACAACTTGTGTTATTACTGTAAGAATTAGTAAAAGGAAATCAGAAGGGCGAGCTCTCATGCCCTATCACTTACCGTCATCTGTAGACCCAGCAGGAAGAGACTCACCTTGTAAGTGCGTGGCGCTTTAGCTACTATATTATTCCAGCAGGAGAAAGAACGGTTCTCTCCCCAGGTCCACCAGCCCAACCAATGAAAAGCCATTATACTTTAAACCCCTGGTTTACTCCAGTGGACTTTTTGTTTGTAACAGCCCTCCCAACTTACTCTGTAAGAGAATCTTCCTCTCCTTGGTTCTTGGGACTTGTCTATGGTTTTGACACTAGCTTGCTTTCTTGCCCTGGATTGCAATTCTCCGATATTTTGCTGGTAAGATAACTGGCAGTTTTATTTTTAAAGTTAACATTCCAAACAGTTCATGCACAATTCTAAAGATTTTTGTGTGCTCTGACTTGGTCTACACACTGGCTTAGGTTCCCCCCAGGCCTTGAGCTAGTATAACTTTGGTGTTTTAGTTCAGGCTGTCGTAACAAAATACCATAGACTGGATGGCTTAAACAACAGAAATTTATTTCTTACAGTTCCAGTGGCTGGAAGTCTGAGCTCAGGGCGCCAGTAATCAGGTTCTGATGAGAGCTTTTTTTCCTGGCTTACAGATGGCCACCTTACTGTGTCCTCACAAGGACAAGCTCTCCGTTGGCACAAACCCATCATGAGCACTCTTGCCTACATGATCTCATCTAAACCTAACTACGTCTCCAAATAGCATCACATTGGGGGTTAAGGCTTCAACATCTAAATTTGGGGGAAGGATACAATTTAGTTCATAGCCCTTGGTATACAGAGCTATAGTTTTATTTATACTCACTGTTCAGACATTGTCTCCCAGAGTACATGGATCTCCAAAATTGGCTTTTCTTCCTGAAAGAACACCGTTCTTTTCTTGATCTCAAGTAACCAACCTGGATTGCCCCTTAATGCCCGGACTGTACTGCTACTTGGCCTTTCTTGAAGACCCTTTAGTTCACAATAGGAGACTGACTGGATTCTAGAAGCCAACAGCATTGAATTGAGAGTGGGAAATTTCCCAACAATATCTCAAGCAGGTTGTCATCTAACCTCTACTTAAATATAGCCAGAGAAGAGGTAATGTTAAATACACCCAATTCACTTATGGATAGCTGTCATTTTTTTGAAATATGTTCTTTTTTGAGCTAAAGACTGCTTGATTCTTTCAGCTATGCTTTGATCCTGCTTCTGCCTTCTATGTCCATACAAAAATGTCTAATTGCAGTTGTTTAAAATGTCAAGATAAACCTGCCATCTTTCCTGATTATCCTCCAAATGCGTACCAGTTTATGAAAATCCCACTTAAAATGCATTGCCAAAAATATAACACTATAAATAGCATTTGATGATGATACTGTAAGGTCAGGTCTCTTGATCTGGAGACTCTTAAAAGTAATTTTAAAGAGGTGAATTTTATAATCACATTATGTTGACAGCTCTACCATAGGAATTAAATAGACCCTTATCCTTACCTTTTAATTAATTCTGTACTAAGCAAGGTCAAAGACTTGGGAGTCCACATAATTTAATTCAACATCTTAGATTCTGGGAAAGTAATGGTGCTCACTGAAAGATACATGTGATACGTTGTTTCATCCGAGAGGGTTTAGGTATCTCCATTGTTTGAAATCATATTGTTAAGGAAAAGATGCTCCTCTGTTAATAGGCATGCAAGAGCTGGTAGGAAGTAACTTTGTGTGTTAAATAATAACAAAGTTAAAATATTTTCTTTTTTATTACCAGATTTCCTCTAGTTTTAATATGCTGATGGGTATCATGATTTTCCAAAGAAAATATAGTAAGCAGTGTTTCTCAAAGATTTTTATTCTTGAAACACTGATTAATATCTTGTAGATGTGTAGGACACAGTTTGGGAAGTGCTGCCTTTTTATCTTTATTGATTTTTAAAGATATGCATGAACATGAAATATAGAAAGATATGCATACAATACTGTAGCACAGAAAGATTGCAAAACAATAATGCTTGACCTTTTTAAAAACATTAATCAAAAAAAGAATGAAAGTGTTTCTTTAATAATGATTGGCTCTATAATTAAGAATATTTTTCATATAAATTTCTGATTTAGGGCTATGAATATGTGATAGTATACTTTTATAATAAGAAAAAGAAAACAGACCAATTTCCCAATCTAAAAAAATACAGTGAATTATACACTTTTTATTAGTTTCCTATTGTTACAAAGCAAATTACCTCAAACTTAGGGGCTTAAGTCAGCACCAATGTATTATCTCAGTGTCTGTGGGGCAAGAATCTGGCAGATTTTAACTGGCTCTGCTGAGGGTCTCACAAAGGTAAAATCAAGTTGTCAGCTGACTACATACTCATCTGGAAGCTCAACTAAGTAAAGATCTGCTTCCAAGCTCTCTCAAGATGTTGCTGGAATTCATTTCCCTGTGGTCTTATGACTAAGGGCCCCATATTCTTGCTGGCTGTTAGTCAGCCACTCCTCTCAGTGTCTGGAGGCTGTTCTACTACTTGCTAAGTGTCCTCCACCAACAGTTGGCTCCTTCCCACTTCTGAGACTTCACCTTCCTTTAAAGAGCTCATTTGAGTAGATCAAGTCCACCCAGGATTATCTCCCTTTTGATTAACCCAAAGTCAACTGATTAGTATCCTAATCACAGAAGTGATAACCTGTTATATTCACTGGTCTTGGCTGCAGTCAAGTGGGGGGATAATGCAGGGTATGCACACTAGAGTACAGCAATCATAAGGACTATCTTGGAATTCTGCCTATCATACCATACGCTTCTTTAGAACAAGGGACTTTTCTGACTTGTAGTCCCATGGCCTGGCTCGGTGCCCAGAACGTAGGAGATGGTCAGTAAATGCTTGTAGAAGAAATTAAACCAGGTTAATACTGTTTCAAACAGGGTGTATTTAGGAAGGAAGGCCCCATAGTATGTATTGGAAGTCTTTCCTACTTCATTTTACTGGACTTATACAGTATATTGTGTGTTGCTAATCCTGTTTTGGAAGGCAGAAATGTTCATAGGTACAAGGGGAACAAGTGACAACCCAAAGAATTATGAACAAGTGCATTCCTCTTGTTCTCACCTGGTATGTCTATGCCAAGTTTTAGAACTTTAGCTGGAATTGTTAGTTGAGGCTCGTGTGGATCAGATATTTAATATTTTTAAAAATATTTTTTGTGGTTCTTTAATTGGAAACTCTTAAGAAATAGACAAAAGGAAGTGGTAACAGTAGTAGTTGAAAGACTGACTTGAGCTGGGATTTGTTTCATCAGTTATTGCTTGTGTAACCTTGAAAAAGTAGTTTAACCTCTGTAATTCTCATTCTCTCCATTTACAAATTTGGGGTATTAATACCCACCTTATTGTTACTGTTGTGTTGGTTACAGAAAGCACATTATATGATTGTATATACGTAGAGATAATTGCGATGTAAAGCTCTCAGTTATTTTCTCTTTCTGGATATTCTCTCTCTCCATTCAGTGACTCTGGGAAGAGTTGAGTAACATGAAAATATTATACAAGCACACTTTGCAGAAGCCTTTGACTTTGTTGCCTCTTTTAATGTGCTATTTACACTTCCTCCCTTGTTGAAATAGTATTGGGTTGTCAAAAATGTACTTCTGGGGCACCTGGGTGGCTCAGTCGTTAGGCGTCTGCCTTCGGCTCAGGTAATGATCCCAGGGTCCTGGGATCCAGCCCCGCAATGGGCTCTCTGCTCAGCGGGGAGCCTGCTTCTCCCTCTCCCACTCCCCCTGCTTGTGTTCCCTCTCTTGCTGTCTCTCTCTGTCAAATAAATAAATAAAAATCTTTAAAAAAAAAAAAACAAATGTTCTCCTTAATCCCCATCACCTATTCACCCCATCCCCCACCCACCTCCATTCTGGTAACCATCAGTGTGTTCTCTAGAGTTAAGAGTCTGTTTCATGAGGATTAAGAAGGGGGAATTGTGATGAGTACCAGGTGTTGTATTCACTATATGGTACTCCTGAAACTAATACTACACTGTATGTTAACTAGCTGGAATTTAAATAAAAACAGCTCCCCCCCAAAAAAACCCAAATTAAAATGCATTTTAAAGAAATAAATAGTTTTGGGTTTTGCTGTTTGTTGCATTACTTATGAGTAGGCTACATTTGCTCACATGCAAAAACAAGAGGAACTTTTTTTTTTTAAAGATTTTATTTCTTCATTTGCGAGAGAGACAGAGAACAAGCAGGGGGAAAGGCAGAGGAAGAGGGAGAAGCAGAGCAAGCTGAGCAAGGAGCCTGATACGGGACTCGATCCCAGGAC